AGAGCCGGCGGCTGACATCATCTCCAAAGGCCAGCCGCATGTGAGAAGGAAACATGATATTTGGATTATTGTGAAGGGCTTGAGCGATCTGGAAAGGTCGTTCGGAGATGTCAAGTGTTGCAGGTATTCCTGCGCCGGCAGATAATGAACTCTTGAGGGTTTCAGCCGGTAACGTCATCTCAGCCCGGGCGCTTATTGATTTCGATGTTGCTATGGACCGTGAGGCGCTTATTGATTTTGATGTCGCTGTGGACATTGTGGCCCAGGGATCATATGTTTATTGCAGCCATGTTTGTGTATGAACAAGCAAAGGCTCAAATACAATGCACCTCAGTCTTCATTATCTTGTTATTTGACTTCGATCGATAAAGCCATGGAAATGGTCAACAGTAATAAAGGATCTAAAATGACTGTGTAGCATAATAAAATAGCCGTGTATAATTGCAGCGTAGGACAGTAAAGACTAGCGGTTGAAGATGTGGGGAGGTAACGGAAAGGTTGCGGGTTCAAACCCAACAAAGACTGATCACAATATATCTTTATATTGATCAAATGTGACAGTAAAGACATTTATAATGAAACAAGATTTCTATTTCAAATAAATGCTGTTATTTTGAACTTTCTTTTTTCAAATAATCAAAAAAAAAAATCACAATTTCCAAAGAAATATGAAGCAGCACAACTGTTTTCAACATTGATCATATTAAGAAATGTTTCTTGAGCAGCAAATCAACATGTGACACTGAAGACTGGAGTAATGATGCTGAAAGTTCAGCTTTGATCACAGAAATAAATTACATTTTAAAATCTACTCAAATAGAAAACGGTTCTTTTAAATGTAAAAATATTTCAAAATATTACGGTTTCTGTTTTTACTGTATTTTTGATCAAATAAATTCAGCCTTGGTGAGCTGAAGAGACTTCTTTCAAATAAATTAAAAGATCTTACCGACATCATATTTTTTGAAGCGTATATGTGGTATTTGAATTGCAAGTAAGTGACTTAAAAATACACGATGACTAATAAAATTCTCCTGTGCAAGGCAAAAAGGTGTTTTAATTAGTCTTTTTTGGCATGTTTTCCGGTTAAAGTGTCAAAAAAAAAAAAAAAAAAACATTAAAATGATAAATTTAGGTGAGAATCAACACTTCATAGTGAATTTTTGTAGATTGCATCTTTTTTTTATTTTTTTATGGATGAGACCAAACTATTTTCTTTGGTAATTGACATATAGACCACAATCACTGTCTGCACTGAGCTGCAAATGCACTGAACCCAGGACATTCCTTTAACCAGTACAGAAATTACTATTTAAATAATATATATTATTTTTTGTGTTTTACAATAATTAAAAGTTTATTTATTTACATTTTGTTATCATGCAGATAATGTCACAATGTAAATAATCTCATTTTATTAATTTGATTTAAGGACATTCCTCTAAACAATACAGAAATTTACAATTTAAATAATATATATTATTTCTGAATTGCAAAAAAAAAAAACATTTTTTTGTTTGCATTTATTTATTATCATGCAAATAATGTCACAATGTAAAGAATTTATTTTTTATTTCATTTTCTGTGTTATTTAAACAATCCTTTAAATAATACAGAAATTACAATTTAAATAATATATATTTTTGCATTACAATAATGCAATAATAATTATAGCTGGAGATTAAATAAGCAAATTTTAAATATAAAAAAATTAAAAAAAATTATTTATTTATTAATTCATTAATTTTTTGTTTGTTTATCACACAGATAATGTCACAGTGTAAAGAATTTCATTTTAAACCAAAGAATATATATGGGTCAGTGACAAAAAGGGATTGGCAAGATGAGAAATTCAAAAATCTATTAAAAACTTGTTTTAAAAGCATGCATCAGGTATTTTAAAATGTACACTGTGTGTTTATGTTGATTTTATGTAATTAAAAATGGCATATGCACCATTTTTTACAGAAGTTAAGACTGAATGTACCTGAAAATGTCAAATGGTGTAACTGCCAAATAATGAGAAATATTAAATATTTTATCCACCTAGATGGAATGTAAGCTTACTCATAGAAATAAATACTTCATTTTAAAATATCACACGAAAATAGTTTTTATTAGAGTTATCTCTAAATGTACATTTTAATGCGTTTTTGCAATATTTGGTGGAACATATGCTGAAAACACCTCTGTTTTCTAAATAATCTTTGACAAATTATGTAAAAAAAAGCGTATATGTGGTATTTGAATTGCAAGTAAGTGACTTAAAAATACACGATGACTAATAAAATTCTCCTGTGCAAGGCAAAAAGGTGTTTTAATTAGTCTTTTTTGGCATGTTTTCCGGTTAAAGTGTCAAAAAAAAAAAAAAAAAAACATTAAAATGATAAATTTAGGTGAGAATCAACACTTCATAGTGAATTTTTGTAGATTGCATTGCATATGCAATGTATTTGTCTTATTGCCCTTGCAGATTTTTCACACTTGTTTTGAGCTTGTTTAAAGTGACGTGACATGTGGCCAAGTATGGTAATACTTCAAAATGTGAAAAAGCACAAATGCACTTGTGTTAAAGATGCATTCTCTGAAAGCAAGTCTTAAGCATGTATGCAGCGTTGCTTCTGAACTAAATGTTGTTTTTAAGGATTTTTAGATATTTTAACTAAAAATATTTGACAAAAATCCTCATTAAGAGTAGTATTTTTTACATTGTTGGTGGTGCAATGACACATTGAGCGCTAAAAAACGATAAGATCTGCCGTGGAGAAGCTTGATTTGGTCAGTCAGCAGTAAGAGGTTGATCTCTCCGTTGACAGTCACTGATACCCGTTTGCAATTATTCATCTCTGTGCGTCTTATCGGCAGGGAACGGCATTGTCAGCTCCGCCATCTGTGAATGACAACACCTTCCTCCCGCTGGCATGCTTATTGTGTTTGACAGGCCAGAAAACGCCGTGGGACCGGCTCGCGCTCACGCTGCTCTGTATTGTGTTTTGTGCCATGAAAAGCATCAGGGAGATGAAGGTCTTTGGTGTTTTAGCCACATTTGTGGAAGTGTGAAACTTTGTTTAACTGTAAAAGGGCACTGTGTGTGTGAGATATTCCTTCAAGAGCCCCATTTAGTAGTTGTGCCACATGAGTGAGGATGGCAGATTGACACTTCAGCGCCCAGCAGGAGACGGCAGACGCGCTGTGATAGGGGCGCTGAAAATCATCCTCAAACATGTGCGGTCAGGTGGAGAACTGATGCCTAAAGGAGATTCAATCAAGAAACTCAGAAAGTTCAGAAAACAACTCTAGAAAGATAGAAGTTAAATCTCATGAAAACATCTCTAGGTCACATTTCACTACATTTAAGAGTTTACTGCAAAATAACGGAATTTTGTTATCTTTTTTTTATTTTTTTATGGATGAGACCAAACTATTTTCTTTGGTAATTGACATATAGACCACAATCACTGTCTGCACTGAGCTGCAAATGCACTGAACCCAGGACATTCCTTTAACCAGTACAGAAATTACTATACTCATAGAAATAAATACTTCATTTTAAAATATCACACGAAAATAGTTTTTATTAGAGTTATCTCTAAATGTACATTTTAATGCGTTTTTGCAATATTTGGTGGAACATATGCTGAAAACACCTCTGTTTTCTAAATAATCTTTGACAAATTATGTAAAAAAAAAAAAAAAATGTTAAAAACCATATTATTTTGTTAAAATAGATGATTACATTTTATTCCACATACATTTTCCTGTATATAATTATATTTTTATGAAAAATACTGGTTACGCCAATTGACACAAACCAGTTACACCACCTGACCATGTTGCTTTTACAGCCAAAGGCCATTCTTTGTTGAAGAAATTGACACTGAAAATCAAGCATGACAGTCAACAAGTTCAGCTGAAGTGCTTTTTTTTGTTTTCCAATGCTGGAAAAAAAAAATCTGGTATTGTTAAGCTATATATATATATATATACACAAAAATGTAAAGAGTTTTTTATTATTATTATTATTCTTTTAAAATTTATTATTTTACTATGTGGTGGAATATGGCCTGGTTCTTAACAGGTTTTGTGAGATTTACTCTTGGACTGTAGTGATTTCCTTCTATTTGTCATGTGCTTAGAGCACCGCTTAGCTCTGATAGATTAAGTGAGATCAAATATTTCCCTTGTTTAGCATTCAGTATTACCCATTGCACATGGACTGCATGGGCGCTTCTATTTTTGACCATTATTTGTTAACGTTTCCTCCTCTTTTCTCTGTTTTTTACATTATCCATAATATCTGTTCTTCCTGGGAGGTCTCACTTCAAATCTGAAAAGGCTCAAGATTTAATTAGCTCAATGTTCTCGCGTCTCTCTTCAGCGGCTGAGGTTGAAGTCACAGCTGCTGGGTTGAATGTGAATTCAATTCATTTGCCACTCATCAATTATTTATGTGTTTTCTCCTGCTTGATTACTTGAATCAAAGAAGTTAACCGCATTCATGCCAACATAATGTGCTTGAACAGGGCTATTGATTTACAATTGGACAGTCGACACACTGACCTCAGCTGTTACTGTTAGACTCGTATTTTGTTGAAATTAATAAGCTGTTGCTTGGCTTTCTCAATAAATGAAACGTAATATGCTTACTGTTTACGTCTCTGCTGCACAATGGGTTTTGTGATCTTGTTTATTTGATGAGGTGCGATGCCTTTAACAAGACATTCATCTGAAGTCAACATGAAACCAATTGACCTTATTTACTTTAATATATGTCCCTGGTCTTACTCTGAATGCACATTATTCCTGAGGATAAAAAACATCAAAATCTTTCATCAGCTGCTTCTAGCCACTGCTTGCATGCAAGCTTGTGATCCAAAATGCAGTGCATTCACTTATGGACATTAAAGAGATTTTAAAATGGGTAAAAATGGTTTTCCTTTAGGCTTTTGACCTTTAAACCCCAAAATTGGTGACTTGTGTTTTATTCTCCCCTTGTTCAGATAACAAATACGCCCCTGCTGTGACTCTGAATGGCTATATCTTCATCCTGGGAGGAGCGTACGCCAGAGCCACCACCATCTACGACCCTGAGAAGGGAAACATCAAAGCAGGACCCAACATGAACCACTCCAGACAGTTCTGCAGGTAAGACCAGCTTACACACCACCATCTGTCCATGGAGAAATCTGGATGGAGAGCTTTCACAGCTGTCAGAGAGCTAGTTACTCATGGCTACTCAAACTGTTCTTGTACATTCATGGTTCTTTGAATAGAGCTGAAAAGAGGTTTACTGCACAAATCTATCCTTGTTAAAGGTGCTTCAGTATTAATATTTATCGCACTTCTTGTGTATTAAACTTTTGCAACCTGATACATTGTGATTTTTAGGTTTTCTCAACTCTTTTCCTAAGTAACACTACTAAATTTCACTAAATGCAAAATGCTAGTGATGGGCGCTTTTGAAACACTGCTTCATACAGCTTTGAAATATCTACGAATCTTTTGTTTCGAATCACTGGGTCAGCGCTTGTATCAAACTCACCAAGTCATATGATTAAAGCAATGGAGGCTTTGTTACCTTGTACTGTTTTGAACCTTGGTTTGGTTCTGATTGTTCTCCACTAGATGGCGTTTTATAATGTAGATTCATTTTTAATAAATTTAATAAATTTTAGTACTAATGCATTGCCAAGCCTTGCCTAACAACACACATAACTCAGTTTTACATATTTTACAAAACCTTCAGACTTAAAGGGTTAGTTCACCCAAAAATGAAAATTAGGCTGTGCTTTACTCATCCCCGAGGCATCCTGCGTGTATATGACTTTCTTCTTTCAGACAAATCCAGTCGGAGTTATATTAAAAATTATCTTGGCTATTCCAAGCTCTATCATTGCAGTCAGCGGGTGTTGTAGTGCTTCAGTCCAAAAGAAGTGAAATAAAAAGCGCCCATCCATAAAAACCCGTGTCTCACACGGCTCCGGGGGGGTGAACAAAGGCCTCCTGTAGCGAATCGATGCATTTTTGTAAGAAAAATAACCATATTTAAAACGTAATAATCAATTTAATCTAGCTTGCGC